AATTGGCAGAGACAGGCGGATCTCTGTGAGTTCGAGGCCAGCCTGGGCTATCAAGTGAGTCCCAGGAAAGGCGCAAAGCTACACAGAGAAACCCTGTCTCGAAAAACCAATAAATAAATAAATAAATAAATAAATAAATAAATAAATAAATAAATAAATAAATAAATAAATAAATAAAATTACTGTATGTTTAGGGGGCTTTTTGATGTAACCAAGAAACAAACAAAGAATTTTTAATAGGAATCAGGAGACCAGTTTCTGGCTCAGCATTGTCATTAAATGGACATATTAACCTATAACAGGTCACTTTATTAATATGACTCTCACCATATTCATGACAAAATGGGGTATTAGACTTTACCTTAGTATCTGTCTTAAAAAGTCAATCAAATAGATCTAAGTCCTTTAAGAGATATTTGATATTTCCTCCTGCTTTGTAGAGTATAGCAAAGTGGAGAAAAAAAAAATCAGCTATCAAGTTTAATTTCTATAAAGTAGTATGGATAAGCTTTCAGTAATAACTTTACCAACTATTAACTTTTCTTACATGAATCTTCAGGATCACATCTCAATATACTATTCATACTCAAAGCAATATAAAATTTACATATTTATAAAACAAATACATTTGTGTAAAAAAAAAATGGTTCTTTCTTCTACATTGCAGATCTGTCCAAAAATAAGAAAACAAACTATTCTTAAGTCTCTATTTACAAATGAAGTTAGTATCTTTCACTTTTTTAATAACTTTGCTGAGACATGATAAATATACAAAAACTATACAATATCTTTGAATGGTGCCTAGTAAAATGATATGGCATGGATATAAAATGCAACTCCCCAGCCCCTGGCATTTGTTGAAGGCTTGGTCCTTAATGCAATATTCAAAAATAAGACTTTCAGATCAAGAATGAATCACAGGAGCTCTGTCTTAATCCATGGACCACCTTACTGATAGATTAAGAATTTAATGGCATTATCGAGGTGATAAAAATAGGAAGATGTGGGGACTCGTTGGAGGTGGTGTGCCTGTAAACGACTATCTCATTCCTGGCAACTGTCCTTTCTCACTCTCTCCTTCCCTCTCTCTCTGATCTCTCTCCCTCCTTCATACCTCCACCTCCCTCTGAATCTCTGTCTCTCTCTCTCTTGCTGGCTTCCAGAGCAGCTTTCCTCTAGCACACCTTTATACCATGTTCTGTCTTGCCACACTCCTACAGGGATGAAGCCAAGCCACCTTGGACTGAAGTCTGAGTCTGTGAGCCAAAATTGACCATTCTCTCTTTAGACTGTTTCTCGGGTGCACTTTTTCATAGATGTGTTATGCTCATACACAGTAACTGGCGCAAGCAAGGAAAAAAACTACTGAACAAATGTGACACTTTTCTTATTTTAAGCTATTCCATTTATAAAACTAAGATTGCAATGAAGTTAAAAAAAATCCATAGAAAACTAATAACCAATTTCATTATGTAATTATTCACAGAGCCAAGCATGAAGCCCATAGTTTTGGATTAATCACATCACAACTGTACCTGTTCTACTTCCCTAACTCAAAACATCCCCTAGAGCAGAGAATTCAGTGTGTAGAAACAAGGAAAACCATTCTGCTTAGAGAAACAAATATCACTGCTGACAAATACCTTCCGTGTGACAAGTGGGTTTTCCAGGAAGAGGTTGGGGAGAGTGTCCATGAAGTATGAGTGACTGTTTATGGAATCTGACTCATCAGATTTTGGGAACTAAGACAATTTTTAATAGAAAATAGTTATTTCCCATAAAGCAATACCAACTATCAGTATATATTTTTAATAAAAACAGTGATTCCACATAAAGCAATACCAACTATCAGTTACTGATAGCTTGTCTGTATACACTGAATCAGGGTACAGTGTAGGCAAGTGAGTAATGTGATAGTATCCAGGTTTTTTAATAATATCATAATGAGTTGATTATTTTGAATATAAGAATCAGTAATAGAGGCAGGCGGTATGGTGCATACCTTTAATCCCAGCATTTGGGAGGCAGAGACAGGCGGATCTCTGTGAGTTCGAGGCCAACCTGGTCAACAGAGCAAGTTCCAGGACAGGCTCCAAAGCTACACAGAGAAACCCTGCCTCGAAAAACAAAAACAAAATAAAACAAAAACAAGAATTAATAATAGTGTTTTATAAGATAATATATGCATCGTTGATTAGAAAATTACATTTTGGTAATTTTTTTCGTGTATGTACATACATGTACGTGTGTACATATGTGCTTTACATGTGTGTTAAGTGCAAGTGTATGTATACCACAGCAAATATATGGTGGTCAGAGGACAACCTCGGGTGTAGGTCATCATGATCCATCTTGTTTTAAGCAGAGTCAATCTGTGGTTTGCCACTGAGCACAACAATCTTGCTGTCCCACAAGCTTTGGGGAATTCCATCTACACCTCATATCTCACCGCCAGAGCACTGGGACTACAGAGACACAATGTACTTATGTTCCATGTGATCTAGGGATTCACACTTGCCTGGCAAGCTCTCTAGTCACTGGGCTGTCTTCTCAGCCATAAAATTTGCTTTATATCTATATTGTAAATTTTTTAAAGCACTAGTCTTAAGCACAAAGAGATTTGGGCTATTCTTTTTAACAGATATAAAATATTTGTTCATATTTATAGGGCATAGTAAAGTTCAACAATTCAACACATGCACACAATGTGTCATCATCAAACGAGGGTGATTAGCATTTCTACCTTCTCAGTGAGAATTCTAGCTATTTGAATTTTGAAGGCAAAATTGAGATTATTTATAAACATCTTTCATGAAGAGCTGAATATGAATTTAAATTCAAGATTCTATTCATATTCAATTGGAAGTTTTTGTTAGGGCAGAGGTCAAAGAAACTACATGACAGAAAACAGAAAAAGTCACCCAACTGCCAATAAAGAACAGATAGACTATTCAGATAAAAATACCATACTATCCAGGATAGCCAGGGATACACAAAGAAACCCTGTCTTAAAAAAAAAAAAAAAAAGCCATACTAATCAGCAATAAAAAGGGAATTAAAATGGCACATGCAACAATAATGATGATCTACCTCAACAACAAACTGAATAGCCAAGCATAGTAGTTCATGGTTATCATGTCCCCACTCAAGGAGCAGAGACAGGGGGATCGCTGTGAGTTTAGAGTCAGCATGGTAGTATGCAAAGAGAGTTCCAAGCCAGCCAGGGCTACACAGTGAAGGTCTATGCCAAAAGAGGGGGAAGAAGAAAAAGGTGGCTTTATTAAATAAAAAAAAAGTCACACCTATGATTTCCCTTAGTCAAAATTCTAGCATAAGAAATTTAGAAGAACAAAAGCAAAAAACAAAACCCAAAAACCAAAAAAACAAACCAAAACAAGAAACTCTTAACTACTAAACCCAGTAATTTAAGGGGAAGTCTTCTGACATCTGAAACTTACTTTGAAATGAATCAACCAACCAATAAATAAATAAAAAGACAAATTAATGAATGGATTGAAGACAAAACATGAAAGTGATGAGTACAACGAAACATAAATCCAGAGGTTGAATATGTGGGTGAATGTACAGTGTATGTTTAATTCTTCCAGAGCTACATTTTTATGTATCTGGTAAAATTAAATGTCAGAAATGATTTTTCATAGTAAATTGCAAGAAAAAAATCATTAGTCAAGTTCTTAACATGGAGGTGAACTGAACATTGGACAGCTAACAAATAAACATTAAAACAAACCGAAGAGCAGACAATTCAAATGTTACATAACAAACAAGACATAGTGCCTATGTGCTGTGTATACAGATGAAGACTCAGTTAAGTAAATCAAGAGGGATCTGAGTTAGACATGAAGATAAAATGGCTACGGGGCGTTGTGGCTCTCTTCCGTAACCCATAATCCGGCACCTGCCTGGCAGAGGGTTGCTCTGAGTTCAAAAGTAGCCAGGGCACATAGTGATACTTTGTCATCCAGAGCTACAAAGTGAGAATTTTATAATTAATTAATTAATTAATTAATTAAATGTATCTAATATACTAAGAAAATTTCCAAGGAACTTTGGAAAATCAATATAATTATAAATGGGATACAGACTTAATTGATAAGCAGAGTAAGTAATATGGTGTAACCTAAAGATATAATTAGAATTAAAGTCCTCCAAGTCTTCCTTTTACAGCACTGATGCTGCCTGTTTATATAATATTCAACATTACCAGCATTTTCTTTACTGAATAATGGGGAAAATAGACTAAAATAAAATAGAACCATATAAAAAGTTTAAAGCTTCCCTCTTTAGACAATCCTGTTCAAAAGACTGACATAAGTTTCAAATTTTCCAAACCGATCATTTGTAACTAAAATACTGACAGTCCTTGTCAGATGGCAATCTTTAAAATACCACCTTCCAGTAGAAAAATGTCAAAGAAAATATCCCAGCATCCCATGGTAAGTAGTTCTCAAAAGTAAAAAAAAAAAATAGAAATCTAAAAGATAGATGTACATTAAAAAAAAAATTTCAGGCTTCATGTTTGAAGTACTTTATTCTAAACAACAGGCAGGTATTTGCTTTTGTATAAAACTATAAAAGAAATAGAATCATGTTTATTCATCTTTAGCAAGTGCTAGAAAAAGCACCAGAATAAAACTACAAAATTAACTATGAATTCCGTGTTTTATCCAGGGAAAGAAAAAGAAATGATGTGTTTCCAAATGTAACAATAATCTGGAAAATCAAATACAAAGTGACATATTTCAATGAGTATCACAAACAATTACTCTGGGGTGCATTAATATATATGGGGTGATAAAGCACAAATTATACAGTGCAAATTACTCTAATCCCACTAAGATTACAGCCATAGTATATGTATATATATATGTGTGTGTGTGTGTGTGTGTGTGTGTACGTATGTAATCTTTAAATCAAGCGGCTTACATACACCTACTTCATAGAGTGAATGATGTACAACTGAGGTCTAATGAACTTACAATTCCTTGTGCTTGTCTTCAGCCAAGATCTGGTCATTTGGTTTCAGAGAATACCTGCAACACACAACAACACCCTGGTCAGACAAACATACAAACACACTTGCCTCAAGACTCATTTGACTGCATGTTCTCCCATCAAACTGGAGGGTACAATCTGTTGAGTTCTATCAAATGAACACTATGACACTGGTGTATGTCTCTGAATTGACTGACAAACATCAGGAATATCCAAGCAGCTGGCTCTTCACTGTTACTAGTCACTTCCTCGGACACCACCCCAGGCGTGAAGGCATCAATGTGACCATGGACTGAAACACAAGGTACCTTTAGTATTCTCTGCAGTGAATCACATGTAACAGTACTCTCTTCCGCAGTTTCAAATTTAACTACTAACTCCAGTGTTAAGGATTTTAAAAGTTGACAGAACATTGTGACTATTCATTAACTACATAGTAAACATTTACCATGTACCAAGCTATGTACTAAAAAAGAATAGCATACGTTTTCATATCCACCCCCACTCCCCCCCCCAAACACACATATGCACACACATGCTAAGCAAGGGCCCACTTTTTCCTCTTTCACAATGAGAAAGTGTCTTAGTGTCTCACTAAGCAGCCCAGGCTCGCTTTAAACCTACTGTGCAGCCCAGGTAGACGTTGATCTTGTAGCCCTCTTGTCTCAGCCTCCCAAGAAACCAGGATTATGACCCTTCACCACCAGGCCCGGCTGAAGGTTTTGGTTGCTGTTGCTAGTAGATGTGAGTGGGGAGCTGGTATATGGGCACATGTGCACGAGTGGACATGCCTGTACACACATATTAAGTGCCCAGGGGAGGGTGCCAGCTGTCCTCCTCTATTTCTCTCTATCCTGTTCCTTTGAGGCACAGACTATCCCTGAACCTGGAGCTGGCGTTTTTCGGCTAGACTGGCAGCCAGCAAGCAACCCCTGGGGATCCTCCTCTCTCCGGTCCCCACAGGGCTGGCTTTATATGGGTACAGTGATCAAAACACCAGGTCCTCATGTATGCACAGCAAGCACCCCACCACTGAGCGGGAATTTTCAGCTCACCTATTCAGTAGCTTGCTGACCACTGACAGGAACCTCACTCCTTTATCTCAGTTTTTCTATCTACAAAATATAGGTTGCTATAAATGTTATAACAGGCATCTTCAATTTGTACTGCTGAAGATGAAAAGACTTTTCTTTTGAGGTTGTCACAGAAACAGACAACCAACCACTTCCAGGTCATCAACTCCACTGTTCAAGCCTGTTATGTTTTCTCTATCTCCATAAGAAGGAACAGAGGTCTATGTAGAAAAGTAATGTTGATTTCCTTTTTTTTTTTTTTTTTCCTTTCTGTGGGAGACCAGCTCCCACTTTTTTTATGACAGGGAACTCTTGAGGAGAGAGGGATAAGAGCCTTAGGTGGAAATATTGAGGTAGAAGGATAGAGGGGAGAGAAACAGAAACACAGGATAGCCTTGGGAGGGCCTGGATCATTATCCACTGGCCCCTCCTGGCTCTTCTAAAGGGCTATTTATAGGAATGCCAAGGGGTGTAGCAAATGACCTCCCCCTCGCTCAGTCAAGTGGTAACCATGCACGTGGTCAAGCAATCCTCTAATGCAGCCCTGCTGGGTAAAGCAAGCTCAGATCTCACTAGGAAACCTTTGTGAGCCCCCACACCTTTCTCTTTCCCAAGTGCTATTATTCACTGGACCTGTTTGTTCTGAATAGACGTGTATTGTACTGCCTGGGATTAAAAAAACAACTCTGAGATTCTAAACAAAGAACAGTCCATAATATTTAGTCCATAAAGAATTCCTGCCTGGCAGTGGTGGTACACGCCTTTAATCCTAGCACTTGGGAGACAGAGGCAAGCAGATCTCTGTGAGTTCCAAGCCAGCCTGGTCTAGAGCTAGTTCCAGGACAGCCAAGCCTACATAGAAAAACTCTGTTGGGGGATAGGTGGTGAGAGGGGAGGGGAGGAGGGATTTTTTTTTAAAGCACTACAAACTAGCAGTTGGAGAGATGGCTTAGGGGTTAAGAGAGCTGGCTGTTCTTCCAGGGTTCAATTCCCAGTAATCAAATGGTGGCTCACAGCCATCTACAATGGGATCTGATGTCCTCTTCTGGAGTGCAGGTATACAAGCAGATAGAGCACTCATACATAAAATACATTTAAAAAAAATTTAATGCACTACAAACTAACTACAGATCCTTCTGTTACATTATTTCTGTAAAGAATAAAGTTATAAATTAGAAATGAGGAACCTGGCCGGGTGGTGGTGGTGGTGGTGGCGGCGGCGGCGGCGGCGGCGGCGGCGGCGGCGGCGGCGGCGGCGGCGCACGCCTTTAATCCCAGCACTCAGAAGGCAGAGCCAGGCGGATCTCTGTGAGTTCCAGGCCAGCCTGGTCTACAGAGCAGGATCCAGGAAAGGCATCAAAACTACACAGAGAAACCCTGTCCCAAAAAAGCAAAAAACAAAAAAACAAAAAGCAAAAAAAAAAAAAAAAAAAGAGGAACTTTGGCTATAATGTTCTATTTTTAGATACCTCCAACAGTAGAAAAGATTGACAAGTTTCATCTAAAAAGTTTATATCTGTGCTGTGTTTAATAAATAATGTATTACTTTTCAGGAAAAGTCCTATTAAACAAAGTTCAGAGAGTTTCAAAATATAAACCATATAGACTTATTTGTCCCTGGCAACAAACTTCAAACCAGGCTCCTGGCTCTCTCTTCTATCAACAAGGATTAAGTATCAGAAGACAAGCCCTAAGGGTTGTCTTAGTGACTCTTCCTGACAAAAGAAACCTAAGAGAGAAAAGTTGTGTTCGGGCTCACATTTGAGGGTATCACTTAGCCTGTCAGGGAAGTCCTGGTGGCAGAGAGAGCTAGAGGCTGTTGGCCACACTGTCACCACAGTTAGCAAGCAGGAAACTAGGATTACTAGCACTCAGCTCACTGTCTCACTTTTTTCAGTCTAGGACCGAATCCCATGGAATGGTGTCCGCACAATTAAGGTGAGTCTTCCCATCCCAATTAACCTAATCGAGAGAATCTCTCGTGTGTTTGTGTGTGTGTGTGTGTGTGTGTGTGTGTGTGTGTGTGTGTGTCCCCGTCCAGGGGCTTGTCTCCTAAGTAATTCTAAATTCCGCCAGGCTAATAATTAGTATTAACTGTCACAGGGACAGGAGGGAGCACTTGCCTACAATGACAGAGACACCAGAAGCTCTAATCCCAGTTACTCATGAGGCTGAAAGACCACTTGAGGTGAAGGGTTTAAAGCAGTCCTGGCAACATGCTGAGACTCTTAACTCAGGAGAAAAGGGGAGAGAGAGAGAATGAGGGGAAGGAGGAGATGGGGGGAGGGGGGAGAGATGAAGCAAGGGAAGTCATTACAGGAGCATGTATATCATCACATTTATTTTAATTGAGAAATAATGTCTGCCTGGAGAGTGGCTGATTGTTTAGGAATGCTTGTTGCTCTGTCCTGAAGGCCTGAGTTTGGCTCCCAGCAACCACGTTGGGCAGCTCACAAATACAGTTACTCCAGTGCCAAGGGATCCAGTGCCGCCTTCTACTCGCCTCTTCAGGCATTTCCACACACATCTGCACACGCAGTCAGATGCGCACAGACATATAAACAATAAAAATGAAGTCAGACTCTTTCTATTGTAAGAGCAAATCTGGTAAGTCTGATACAGAAATCCTGCTCTGCCAGAGAGGTTGGAAATCAGACGTCCTCCTTAAAACGGGTATTTTTTAATAAATGTTTATTCATAATTGTTTATAACAATTCATCCAGAAAAACCATTTAACATAGCCACACTGAAATTAACAACATCAACTCTTCCTCAACCCTCTGTGAAATGTTCAGGCAAACGTGATGCCTCTGAGAAAAAGACCAATAATGGGTATAATCCAGCTACTTAGGAACCCCTTTTCAGAGAGTGTCAGTTACTTTCCTCACTGCTGCGACAAAAATACCTGTCCAAAACAACCTTCAGAAGGAAGGCTTTACTTGACTCACAATTTGAGGAAGTCCATAGTGTTGAGGATAGCATGGCCGTAGGAATGTAAGGATGCTGGTCACATTGCATCCACAGACAGGAAGCAGAGAGTGGCAAATGCTTATACCCAGCTAGCTTTCTCCTTTTTATGCGGTACAGGTCCTCAGACCATGGAATGCTACCACATTCAAGATGGGACATCTCGCCTCAATTAACCTAATTTAGCTAATCCCTCATAACCCAGATGAATACAAGCGATCACACCTAACTTGCATGAAGTCCTAGGTTTGATGCCCAGCATTGGGGGATGGGGAGGGGAAGGCAAGAGCCTTAAGAGCTTTTCCAAGTATACCTCCCTGAATGCCATGTCTCTATGACAGTAATCAGCTAGCCTGGTGGTTTCTGAGTTTTGCTTTCAGTAATACTGAAGAGCTTAATCAAATAATCAGCTGGTGTGTGATTTTTATGATAGTGTTTAAATAACAACACTGTTGAAAATTCTGTTACAATCCAATAAACAATGGGAACAGACTGCTCGGCCAGGACAAGTGCACAGGGAAAGAAGTCAAGTCTGCACACCTGTAATCTTAGCACTAAGAAGGCAGAAGCAGGTCCAAGTGTGCAAACTTAGCAAAACTGTCTCAGAAAAAGGTTTGAAGGGGAGGTTAAGAACACTTGCCTAGAGTTGGCAAAACCCTGGGCTCAGCCCCAGTACCACACATACACACAGCAATCCTGAACACTACTTCGTTGCAGCAATGAGTATTATTTAATCCACAAAAGATTAAACCAACTGAATCAAAGTTTTAGAAATAGTTTCACCACCTCACTTAAAAGATTTATTTCTGGTCATTTTATTTCCTTTTATTTAATTATTTATACTTTACTACATTTGTATAGCTTTACTACATGAGGACTATAATGTAATGACTAGGAGATGCTTTAGAATTAAATTTACATACATATTTTTATTGCAGAAACAGGGTGATCAATATTCATGAAACATGTTAATACATAAAATGAATTACATAAGGATA